GGTGGGGCGGGGTCGAGGGTCGAGAGCGCGAGAGGGAGAGCTGCCGTCAGCGTTCTGCGCGGGGATGAAGATAGGACCCTTGATTACCAGCAGGCCCCCCAAGGGTGTGGTGGAGGATCAAATTTTTTAAAAAATCTCTCGACTTACGGTGACGTCGGCATACACGGGCGTCCAGATGATGGGGTGGTCGACGCGGCCCAGGACGAGCGGGCGCGCCATCACCGGCACATAGTGCAGGACCTGCTCGCGAACCTCGGCCAGCGTGCTCAGGTGCACGTAGTAACCTGTGGGCGGGTGACTTCCGGTCAGACTTCCGGCCTCCCTCAACATGTTGCCACAAACAACTAAAAAGAGGGCGTACCTTTGTTGGCGCAGGCCATCCACTTGACCTCCCGGACGTCGGCGACCTCGCGCCCGATCAGGTACGTGAACACGCGCACCGGCATGAAGCCCTCGGGCTGCAGCGACCGCCAGTTGTACTCCTCGAAGATCTCCTTGAAGTTGTAGGGCACGCCGTCGGTGATGAGCATGATGGCCTGGTTGCAGCACGCGCCCAGCCTGGCGCCGCGGTACTACAAGGAGAGGGGCAGAGTGTGAGCGCGGCGGGCATGGGGGCAGGGGGAGTCGGGCTCGGACCAGTGTCTACCAACCAATTGCAGGATGTCGAAGGCCCGCGTCAGCGCCAGGGAGAAGTTGGCGATGGAGTTGGTCTCCATGTCCTCCATAGCGACTTTCAGCTCCCTGATGTTTGCTAAGTTGGCCTGCGTGACAAGGATGGCAAGGGAGGAGGTTAGACGCCGGGCGGACAGGTCGAGTGGCCGACAGCGACAGATTGTTGCAAAGAGGGAAATTCATACAGACCGCTCAGGCCTCAGTGGCGCACTCACCTGGACGAGGGTCTCCTTGAAGCAGGGGACGACCTCCGCGACGTCGTCGGCGAACGTCAGGATGTTGACGAAGTCGTTGTTGCCCAGCGTGTCGAGGATGTTGTTGACGACGTGGCGGGCGATCTCCCTGCGCATGCCCGTCATGGAGCCCGAGTTGTCCACCAGGATGAGGACGTCCTTGGGGCTGGCCGCGGCCTCGATGTACCAGGAGCGCGTCCGGCAGTCGTACAGGTCGACCGGCTCCTGCTTCCACTGCATAGCTGCGTGGCGTGGCGTGGCGTAGCGTGGCGAGGCGGGAAAAAACGCAGACCGAACGGAAGATAAATTTGGGGGTTCTCGTCGTGGCGCCCTTCCACTCCCCCACTCCTCCCACCCTGACGCGGGCTCGGCGCGGTGCTTCCGCGGTTGTGTGGTCGAGCAGGCCACAAACTTACCCGGGAACTGGCGCATGAAACCCGAGGAGCTGCCGAAGTACTGCCAGGACAGGAACGGGTCGGCGCGGTAGTTGTGGATGAAGATGCGGTCCAGGTCCTGCGACCACTTGATGGCCCGCATCACCTCCGGGGCTGCGGGACAAGGACAGGACACCAATGAGAGGACAGAAAGGACACCAGTCAGAGGACAGACGGGACGCCAATAAGAGGACACTCGGGAGTGGCAAGTAAAGAATACAAACGCCCGACGGGCGGCAGAGAGCCGAGTCCTGGCAGAGCGGTGGACGGGCGCCTGCGGGGTAGGCCAGCGACTGCACCGGCCGACATGCGAGTCCCGCGGGACTGCCTACCGCCCGGGGGGCCATACGCTCGCGCGGGCGACGGGCGCGACGCGCGGGCCTCGTCAAGGGGACGCCCTTATCTTATCGGACCTTGGCCCATCCGGGATGCGGCTACAAGGATCTTTTGTCAATTATTGTGATGCGGGGCCATGGCGCTACCTACCTCCGTCGTACACGTTGGTGGGGACGTGGACTGCGCTGTAGGACGTGTTGACGGGGATGTTGAAGAAGTGCTTGTTGGCCGTGAGCACCATCTCCTGCGGCTTGTCCGACATGGCCGGCGTGATGGTCTCGCCGTTGCCGTTGCCGTTCGAGTACGCATAGCCGTTGGTCGGGAAGGCCTCGGCCGAGCCGGGGTTCACCAGCTGCTTGGCGTTCACGTACGTGTAGTCACCCGTGAACTCCTCGGGCGCCGACATGGCCATGTTCTGGGCGGCGTCCATGATGCGCTAGAAGAAGGTCATTATGGGGTCGTCGTTAAAACACAGAGATAGATGGGTCGACATGGGTGTCCCGGACACTCCAGAGGGCGGGGCGGGCTGGTGCGTCTGACCGGCAGTCACGCACAGCCAGTACTTGTAGAGGGAGGGGCATGCAGTATATCGTGCGCTGAATACGGGCAATTACAGGGGATCTTGTCGATCGCTCAGTTAGATACGACTCCGCTCTCTCCCTCTCACTCTCCCCACCCGCTTTTGCCGTTAGAAAACAAACAGTTCTCTTAGTGGTAGATTAATACTGCAAGCTTTAGGATCGGCCAGAAAGTACGTCCGTTTTACTCAGATTCATGCGGCAAATTAGGGGAGGTCGCCGCCTGTGAGACTCGGGATAGGCCACCCCGCAGTACACTCATGCACTGTAGGTGAGATGTTGCCTACCTAGCAGGCGCCATGAGAGCTCCCAGAGGCTTAACTTGGCAGGTTCGCCACTCCAGGCGAACTTTCTGGATAGTCCCTTTGGCTTACCTTCACTGCACTGATCTTGTTGAGCATCATGTTTTCGATGTCTTTGGCGATATCCTCTAGTAGCTCGGCCCCCTTTCGCGGCTCGACCGTGGCGGTCTTGTAGCTCTGGAAACGAGGGTAGTGTGTTGTACATCACTTTTCATTTCCAGCAGGTGTAAAACTCATTTCCGTTTTACACTCTATGGAAAACGTATCTTTTAGTAGCCAATCACTTACCTCCTGCACCTCCTGCCTTCTCGTGACATGTTCTCCAAAGTTCCATAATTCACCCCCTAGTTTGTCTGCCCACGTTTTCACTCTGCAAGATACAAAGAGAAACACGATTGAATACATAACGATGTGTATAAACTTAAGCACAAAATCTGTTAAGGGTAAACTAATAATAGACACGGTCGAACAGAGTAGGGGGTGCGCATGACCACTTATTGGGATCCTAACCCCACTACTTTGCATATGCCCATGGTGATTAGTGGTCGGCACTAGTATTATCACCAGGGTCCCTTCTCGTCGGACAGAAACGTCTCTCCAGCCGACTCACTGGCCAGGCAGCGAAGTGTCACTGATGACCCCATAACCTCAACGCGGCGGGCGAGCGGCCGCCCCCACTCTGGATACTCACACCAGGTTGCGGATGGACTCCTGGTCCGCCGCCTCGGCATTGTACTTGTTGGGGAGGACGGGGGGAGTGAGGAGGGCGAGGACGAGGATGATGACCGTTGGGAGCCGGGGAACCATGTCCCGCCTGGCCTGCCACTGCCTGCCCTACCCGCCCTGCCCCGCACCTCGGCCCACGGCGGCCAGAACCACGGCGACACGCGTTCACGAACACGGCGACGGGGCGGACGGACGCGCGCGCGACGCGGCGACGCGGACACGGGACGCGACGAACCTGCGGCAGGTTTCGCGACGGCCACACGGCGGACGGTCACAAGCGAATTTCGGGACTCGAGCAGGCGGGCGACATGGCGGACGGGGGCGCTGGCCAGTGGCTGGGCGGGCAGTGAGTGGCGGTGCAGCCTGCCTGCCTTGCGGGGCTGGGCCAGGCTGGCTCTAGGCTGGCTCGGCTCTGCCACACACTGGATCGATCGCCGCGCGCCCCCGCCCCCCGCCCCGCGGCCGCACCACCCCGCCTTGCGACCCAAAGCGTTCCTTGCCTTCCCTTCCGCCACCCCAAGGCAGGCGGACGGCCGGACCCTCTACCCCTGCCTCCCGCCCTGTGCGCACGCGCTGCGCACGGCGAGGGGTGGGGGCGCACACGACTGGGCCACTGGGCAGGGCAGAGCCGGGCAGAGCCCGCGGGGCAGGGCGGCCAGGGCCGTACGCAGGTGTGGTGCGGGCGGTGAGCGGCGTGGTGAGCGGGCTGCGGCGCGGTGAGCACTGTGCCGCAGCAGAGAGAGACGACGCGCGCGGATCCGCCCGCCCGCCACCGTGGGGGAGAAAGAGAGAGGTAGGGGGCGTAAGTGAATCCCCCACACCGCAGCATCAATTGACGTAGAGTGGGAGTGGGATGCCCACCGATCTCCATCAACCAAGCGCGGTTTCGGAAAGGGGGTAAGGGGGAAGTCATCGTTTCCTCTGGCTTTAAACTGAATGCCGGTAAGGTAGGCACGAAGCGTTGCTTTCCTGGCTTTCCTCATGAAATAGTGAGCAGAATCCCAGATATGCTTGAGTACCATTGCCATCACATCACAGCTGCACTAGCAAACGAAAGGGAATCAATTAAAATACGATGTCACAATACAATTTTCGTATTTTAGGCTTTATTGCATCATTGTCAAGTACATAGAGTAAAACCTGGATGTACACAGTTGCACAACCATCGACGACTAGCCGCGCACACATCAACAATTCACAATAATAACAAAAATACTGCACTCCACTCTCAAACAACATGGCAAAATTCATCAACAAAAATAATACTTCATTATGAGTCTTCAAAACAGGAGTGTACAGTGACCCATAACATCGTTTACATAAAATTTACAACTTTTCTACTTTTAATCTCATTTGCCTCAACCAGCTTCACAATAATAAAAAAAGAAAGCACCAGTGTTCATAACACATGGTACAACCTATCAGACTAGTACCAGAAATTAAATAACATGGCTTTGAACTAGTGAAACTTAACAAAAAAGGAGAAGAAGATAGAATAGAGAGAGACAATAGATTTAAGACAGGAATATTCACTTACTTCGAGTAACCAATTGCGCTAGTAAGTTGAATACCATTGAATTAATATCAGATGGATTCTAGAATCCTACGCATTTCCGAAACTACTTTTATTACTACGCCTCTTCAAAATGGTTTTCATAATTCTATTAGACAATTTCGCACGAGGAGCACGATATGTACAGAAGAGCTTCGTGGTGTAGACAAAGTACCGGAAAGCAGGAAATGGCCACAGCAATGGCACACAAAGAGTAAGGTATCTAGTAGGCGTGATCCTTGATGAATAGTGAGCTGTCACCAGCGGCACCAGCAACACCACCAGCGTACTTGCCCAGGGCAGCATCACCGTTAGCCTGAAAAACCAAATCAAAGTTCAGTTCCTCATTGGGAGTTTAAAATCAGAGAAGAGTTAAGTGTCAGATTTTATCATGGTGTACTGTGTGATTACCATGTCATGGAGGAAAAATTCTTTGGTATGAAATATTTTTATGTAAACGATAAGCCCATTTTGTGCAACTATTGAAGTAAGCATGTGCGTGTAGTTCTAAAGCAGCAGAATAGTCAAGAGCGGTTTGCTGAGTGAGCAAAATAACTGTAGGTGTGATAAGCAAGGCATGGAAGAAACAATAGATATTGTAAATTTACTGGCACTGACAGTGAACATGTGCTCAGTATTCAGTCTTTATTCACAATTCATTCAATAAAAAATTCTCACAAACAACTTTCAGAATCAAAATCATGCACACAAAACATTCACAGCAAGCATTCACAGAAATTGACTAAAGCGATAGTAAAATTAGA